GGGACGGAAATTTCCTTCAATGATGTTACAACTTAATTCCAATCTGCACATTACTACCTGCCCTTTATTTTAACTGGGATTTACAATGGAAATGGCAAATAGTAAACATATTTATTGGGTTCCTCTAAAAAAAAAAAAAAAAAAAAAAAAAAAGATTACCGATAGAAAATGTAAACATTCACGTGGGATAGATGTGTGCTTATAACAGGCCAGTGTGAAATTATATGGTAAGTTGGCAGTAAACACTGGATTGTCCAAAAAGTTTTAAAGTTTTTTAAAACATAAATAAAGTGATGCAATAATTATTAACTTTCATAGATCTATATTTTAATCACAATGGAACATAGAAAACATATCAAATGTATAGTCTAAAAAAGTGCTCTAATTTAGGAAAAATAAATTTAGCTCATTTTCACTTTGATAGCAACATACCTCAAAAAAGCTGGGTTAGGAATAAAAATGACCTCAAAAAGTAAGTGGTACCACAATAAAAAGGTGGTGTTTATCAAACACTACTGAGATAATTACATGTGCATGTGTAACCAACATAGACTATGCAACCACTTAAAACTGGACTCAAAAGTGTAATCAAATCAATATTGTATAAATGTATAAATATCGTATTCGAATGATTACTGCCATATAGATAAGAGAGATACTGCTCTGTGAGCTCCATTCACTCTCTTGTTTCTTTTTCAACTTTAATTTTTTTTAAATTAATTTTAGGTAACATTAAAAGAAAAAAAAAACACAGTAAAAAAAATTACAAACCAACAAACATACAAACAGGCTGGAGTTTACATTTATTTTCCATCTATTCCATTCGCATTTCTTGTTGTGTTGTTTTCTTGGTGCCACTTCGGAATGCTTTCCACTTCCTCCATTGTCCATTGTATTTACATCCCATCAATCTGATATTGAATGTTATTTTTTCCATCTCTGAGATACCCTCTACAATACTAATCCAATCTCATTGAGTGGGAGGGTCTGGATGTAACCACTTCTTTGTAATTGCTTTTTTAGTTGCGGCTAGAATAATTTTTACTAAATATAAGTCCTCCTTTTGTATCTGTTCCTTTATGTTTCCAAGATACATCACTTGGCAGGTGTTTGGGAGTGCATATCCCAGAATATTATCCATGGTCATTTTAAGGTCTTCCCAATACTTTTTAATTTTTATGCACTTCCAGAATACATGTGAATGGTCTGCTTCTGTTTCTCCACATAGTCTCCAACATTCCTGTGGACTTGAGATCTGTTTACTTTTAATATTGGGTGTAATGAAAAAATGTGTCAATTTTTTCCATCAAAATTCCCTCCACAACAGCGAATTTGTTGTGCTGTGTTGTATTTCACACATACTGACCCATTCCTTCTGTTATAGTTATGGCCAGTTCAGCTTCCCATTTCTTTTTGAGGTAAAAGGTTGTGTCCTGTCTATCCTCACTCTCTTGTTTCAAACTCATTAAAATATCAGAAAGTTCCAAACCAAAACCAAAACTCCAGACTCAGTAAAACAACATGTTACATGATAAACCATTTACAGCAGTTTAAAGTTCAGGAAAGTTTCTTTATGGTTCAGATGATGATTATAAAGTGTACAGGTCAAAGTGCGTGAAACTGACTGTTACGATTGGTCAAATTTAGTCCATATAAATATAATAAATGTTACCCTTTTTTTTTTTTTAAATAAGGAAAACACCTTTAGTCTTTTTTTCATTTGAATATATATTTTTAAACTGATTAAAAATCAAAGCTAATGCTATACCAGCTTCTAGCATTGCTGAACAGTGCATAGAGCAAACCTGATTACAGGAGCTCCCAAAAAACAAGCAAACACATCCAAACCTCAAAAAAAAGTTGACTAAGCCCCAAAAGAGCAATAAACCTGTGTAGTTATTACAGTACAGTCTCAATACTTTCTTTTCTTGTTTGAATAGAGATTTCGCTAAAAGATGTGCTGATCCCTATTACAAACAGTCTGGTATAATAAGTAGTTTTATTTGGAATTGTGCAGGGCTTGTCTCCATCATTGTTTCAAAGAAAAGAATTATCAAGATGCGGTGATAGCCAAATTGGCCAGCAGATGTCACTTTGGAGATGAGTTTCAGATTGTTTATGCACCTCAATACAATTCTGGTGTTGTGCCAAAAAACCAACAAAAAAACCCCAAACCACCCACCCACTTTAACCCCAGACTCTGCCACATGTGACATCTGCTGGTGATTAATAGGACAGGATTGCCTTTCATGTGTTTCTGTTTAGGCTCAAACCCATTTGATGTTTGGAGTCTTGCAATGACGAAATAATAATTCCTCAAAAAAAAAGTTAAACCAAAAGTAACAAGTCAGTTTTAAAAATGCGAGGAGTAGAAAGTGCAATATTTGCTTAAAAATGTAGGGAGTAAAAGTAAAAGATTCGAAGTAAAGTACAGATACCTGAAAATTCTACTTAGGTACAACAAAGTATTTGTTCTTTGTTACTTCTCTCACCTCTGTTTTCTATGTTCCACTGTGAATAAAATGTGGGATTATGAGATTTGCACATAATTAAATTCTGTTTTTAGTTTTATAAAATAAATTATTTTTGTTCTAAAGTGTTTAACAAAATCAGAAATCCTTATTCTGGAACTTTAAATGTTTTACAACCCAACTAGAGCTGGATTTTATTATCCCAGATGTAACAGTACTAAAGATATAGTTTTACATCTAATTTATAGCAAATTTTAATATGTAGATTATTTGGTGCTTTTAGTCTGTTAATGACACATCTATTTTGATTAAGGTGAAATGGATATTTGGTCCATTTTTAATACATTTTCTATAAGACATTTTCTCCATACCTGAGAGTGTCCAATTTCCAACCTTCATCCTTCACTCCAGCCGAAAGCAGCTTTATTCCTGAGTCTCCTGGATGGTTGTAGCTGATGTCCAGCTCTCTCAGATGGGAGGAGTTGAAACTCAGAGCTGAGGCAAGAGAAGTACAGCCTTCCTGTGTGATCAGACAGCCTGACAGACTGCAGACACACAAAACAACAATTCATACGTTACTGGAGGTCTTTCTTTCTTTCTTTCTTTCTTTCTTTCTTTCTTTTTTTTTCTTATTTCAGATACAATTACATCTATACTTTTCATCTATTAAATTCAGTTTCCTTTTTATTCATAAAGAGATTATTTCAAACAGACAACAGGACCTCCAGTAACACAAGACCTCCTCAAATACCCCAGAAATTAGATTATGTCCTACGAACAATTACTTTATCCTAAAAAGATACTTCCAATGGAAACTGCTTAAAGCAGGGCCATCCAAGACAGCTGATTGGGGGATGCACGGAAGGAAAAGAACATTCTCCCTACTCAAACAACAACTGTCAAGGAACCAACTCTGGTTACTGATGATTATGTTTTTAAACATTTTCAGGTAGACACACCAGCATCCATCGTCAATTGTCTTTCATTGTCAGAGCAGGCAATATTGAAGGAAACCTGAAACTACCGGCTAAGGATACATTTAGATTTGGTAAACTTATAATTCATATCATCAGTAAAGACAACAGGTTATGTAGATTGGAGATGGCTAAAATTAATATCGAATCAGTCTTTACATTTCCCAAAACAATGTCAGATTCTATACAGAGAGTGCAGAATTATAAGGCAAATGAGTATTTTGTCCACATCATCCTCTTCATGCATGTTGTCCTACTCAAAGCTGTATAGGCTCGAAAGCCTACTACCAATTAAGCATATTAGGTGATGTGCATCTCTGTAATGAGAAGGGGTGTGGTCTAATGACATCAACACCCTATATCAGGTGTGCATAATTATTAGGCAACGTCCTTTCCTTTGGCAAAATGGGTCAAAAGAAGGACTTGACAGGCTCAGAAAAGTCAAAAATAGTGAGATATCTTGCAGAGGGATGCAGCAGTCTCAAAATTGCAAAGCTTCTGAAGCGTGATCATCGAACAATCAAGCGTTTCATTCAAAATAGTCAACAGGGTCGCAAGAAGCGTGTGGAAAAACCAAGGCGCAAAATAACTGCCCATGAACTGAGAAAAGTCAAGCGTGCAGCTGCCAAGATGCCACTTGCCACCAGTTTGGCCATATTTCAGAGCTGCAACATCACTGGAGTGCCCAAAAGCACAAGGTGTGCAATACTCAGAGACATGGCCAAGGTAAGAAAGGCTGAAAGACGACCACCACTGAACAAGACACACAAGCTGAAACGTCAAGACTGGGCCAAGAAATATCTCAAGACTGGTTTTTCTAAGGTTTTATGGACTGATGAAATGAGAGTGAGTCTTGATGGGCCAGATGGATGGGCCCGTGGCTGGATTGGTAAAGGGCAGAGAGCTCCAGTCCGACTCAGACGCCAGCAAGGTGGAGGTGGAGTACTGGTTTGGGCTGGTATCGATCAAGCTCAACTCCCAGTCCTACTGCCAGTTTCTGGAAGACACCTTCTTCAAGCAGTGGTACAGGAAGAAGTCTGCATCCTTCAAGAAAAACATGATTTTCATGCAGGACAATGCTCCATCACACGGTCCAAGTACTCCACAGCGTGGCTGGCAAGAAAGGGTATAAAAGAAGAAAAACTAATGACATGGCCTCCTTGTTCACCTGATCTGAACCCCATTGAGAACCTGTGGTCCATCATCAAATGTGAGATTTACAAGGAGGGAAAACAGTACACCTCTCTGAACAGTGTCTGGGAGGCTGTGGTTGCTGCTGCACGCAATGTTGATGGTGAACAGATCAAAACACTGACAGAATCCATGGATGGCAGGCTTTTGAGTGTCCTTGCAAAGAAAGGTGGCTATATTGGTCGCTGATTTGTTTTTGTTTTGTTTTTGAATGTCAGAAATGTATATTTGTGAATGTGGAGATGTTATATTGGTTTCACTGGTAAAAATAAATAATTGAAATGGGTATATATTTGTTTTTTGTTAAGTTGCCTAATAATTATGCACAGTAATAGTCACCTGCACACACAGATATCCCCCTAAAATAGCTAAAACTAAAAACAAACTAAAAACTACTTCCAAAAACATTCAGCTTTGATATTAATGAGTTTTTTGGGTTCATTGAGAACATGGTTGTTGTTCAATAATAAAATTATTCCTCAAAAATACAACTTGCCTAATAATTCTGCACTCCCTGTAGTTTTCTCTGGACCAAGAGTGATACGTTTAGCTGCACGTTCTCTTGAAATTGTAGGTTTTTGACTGGAATCCAAAGGTCAGTGTGGGCTTTCTCCCTTCTAAACCCAAGGGAGTGTCTGCTATCCCATTTACGTAATTATTTTTTAAATCCCAGAAGAATTGCAACCAAATAAACTACAGCAATATTTTTTTTTCTGACTATGAAACTGGAGGATTCATACTTGCATGCATCATGCATTCAGCCTGTTCTATGCTGCAGTTTCCTTCCACTAATGACTTTGCAAAAACTGCATAAAAAAGCGCACACAACAACAAAACATTATAATCCAGGAACATACTTTGCCAATCTGATCATAGCTGTTCATAGCACTTCCTACGTTGGAATACAAGTCATCATGTTGTCAGCAAGAACTACCACATGTCTACCATTACCTCCGAGAATCAGAAGTGGGAAATGTAGATCTTTTTTCCTACAGGCACTTGCAAAGGTTTGCTGGTGCTATTAAAAGTCAGATTTGACTTTATGACTTTCTGTGTAGTTCATGGGAACTTAAATTGCACTGTCAGAAATAGTTTTTTTTTTTTTTGGTGCACATGCTCTAGAAAAAATTTAGAATTGAATTTAAAATCCTTCTCCTTACACACAGCTTCTATAGCTGCAAAGGGGCTACATTTATTATAACTACAATTATTACTAATAATTGTATTAGCCAGGAGGCTGAGGTATAACTAAACATCTGACATACCGAGCAGGAAAGTTCAGGAGAGATAGGTGAAGTCCATGCTAGTTTGCTAGATAGTCGGCTATGAGCTAAGCTAAGCTAGCAAATCCCTAAAGACAAATGAATAAACATTATCAGCAGGTGATCCAAAAGAGAGCTGCAGATTACATGATGAAATAAGATGTTTTGCAAGGGTTTTAATGGAAGTGATACCATACCATAACTTGATACCATACCTAATTAAATACATTAAATTATATTAAACTTGTGTTTTGGGCATTTTCTTTTCAGCAGGAAATTATTATTGTTGAAATTGTAAAACTCTAAACTGACCAGTGTGTTAAAACAACAACAACAAACAAACATATAACATAAAAATATAAAATAAATTTTATATATAAATTATGATTTGAATACTTTTTTTGGACAAATGTAAATAAAGGGTAAATGTTGGGATTAAGTGTTTCTGCAATAATATAATTACACATTTAAATAGCAGTCAGCGAAAAGTCTTAATCCTGACCTGAGTGTTTCCAGTTTACAATAGGAACTCTTCACGCAAACAGACAAATGCTTCACTCCTGAATCCTTTAGATCATTGTCACTCAGGTCCAGCTCTTTCAAACTAGAGGACTGTGAGCCAAGAACTGAGGATAAAGCTTCACAGCTCTCCTCTGAGAGGTTACAGACACTCAGTCTGAAAAATTAGAAACAAACACAGACAATAACAATACTGATATTAATGTGTCATTATGGAATTACTAGATATACTAGATTTAGCAATATTTAGCCTTGAATAAATCCTTAATGTTTAATGTGACTCTCAAATACTGAAAAACATTATTATACAGTAACATATGGAAAAAGTTGACTTTTTTTCTTAAAATTTTAAACCAATTTATTCTGTCACTTAAGAGAAACTCAATATTGTTTGAGCTGACCTGAGAGTATCCAGTTCACATTGTGGACTCTTCAGTGCAGCAGACAGAAGTATCACTCCTGAATCCCCCAGGTTGTTGTTACTTAGGTCCAACTCTTTCAAACTAGAGGCCTGGGATGTGAGAACTGACGACAGAGCTTGACAGCTTCTCTCCGAAAGGTTACAGACACTTAGTCTAGGAAAGAAAAAAAAGTTATATTTGTCAAGGTCCCAGGTCTAGTGACTCAGTGTTTATGTTTTTGATTATTAATATCCTTTGATTTAGTTCATTTCTGGTTATATATTTGATAGTTTCTAGCCTTTAGGTTTTGTTGCTGTGCTTCCCATGTGTTCCTTGTGTTACATCTAGTCATCATTTTTTCCATGTTTGTCTATTTCCTGTTTTACTTTGACATCTCTGTGTCCTGTGTTAGTCTATTCTGCTTTGCTTCCTCCCATTAACATGTGTCTATTTTCAGTTTGTCTGCTTCTCTTCCTGTTGTTTCCAGGTTTCAGGTTTCTTTTCCCATGTTTTAAGTTTCTTGTTTCATGTAGTGTTTTGTGTTTAGATTTTCCAGCTTAGAGCTAGGTTTTTGTTTGTTTGCTTTGTGGTTGGTTCTACTGAAAAAGAACCAGAATGATCAAATCATGCTTTAAAAATCATCAAAATTATTTTAACATTCAAAACACCAGTACAGGGACTGTATAAGAAGCATAATGTGTTGATGCATGCTCAATCATCCAAGTAAGTAAATCTCCCAGCCCATTGTTCCTTCAGTGGGCTGGTTTCAGTCATTATGCAAGTGTACTGTTTATAAGATTGGGGAAACCTGCAGTCAGCTGAGACTGAAGAAGTCACTTGGATGAGTGATGAAACGTTTCTCCCACTGAAAACTCTACATCCAGATGAACAGAATCTACTTTTGGAGAAGCATAATGTATTCTTTCCTTCTGCTCCTAGTTAGCACTCTGAATGCACAGTTATGGATCAGTTGTTGATTCATCACATACTGTAGTCCACATAGCAAAACATTGCTGCAGTCAAGTCTGTACATTAGTTTCTCAGAGAGAAAAGATTTAAAGTGATTACAAATCATATGTAATGACAGACAACAAAAACCTGGCCAAAATGTTTTGTCTATATTATTTTTACTCTTTTTCATGATTCCTCCACAGAGTGGACAAGAGCTCAGAGGTTCCCAGCGGTCAGTCTGCCCAGCAGCAACAAACACATCTGGTCTGTACACATACAACAACTAGTTTTATATTTATTCTGTTCACAGTCATGCTCATGCTGGGTATGGGGGTTGTAGCTCAGGAGGGAACTGGTTGTCTCTCATGTAGAAGGTTGATGGTCAGATCTCCACCTCCTTCCATCTACATGCCATAGTGTGATACATGTAGTTATTCTTATATCCCTTTCTCCCAGTGACTAGGATGGAGTTCACACAAGAAATTATTTTACTTGTTGGAACAGACAAAAAACAAAGGAAATATCTAGGTGTTTGACAAAAATTTATGGATAACTAAAAAAGTTATATCAGAAATGAATATATAGCATTTAAAGTCTGTGTTTCAGTTTAAAATGACCTTTATCACATACCGCACAAAGATTACAGAAGGGGAAGGTTTCTTATTATATGCTTTTACCTGTGGAACATAACGCTGGATTTTATCTTTCAGACAGTGCAGTATAAAACCGTATCCCTGTTAAAACGTTGCCATGGAAATGAACTGAAATGCTGGCTTCAAATGAAATTTTTTGGGCTCTGGATGCAAAGGTATGAGTAAAATGTAGTTTATAGGAGCTCTTGTCCGGTAAGACTTGATTTATACTTCTCTGCTACAGTTTCTGTGCTGAAGGTGAGGTAAAAACTCAGCTATGATTACTGACAAAAGAAGATGATGTAGTTAAAGTCTGGTGACAAAAAAACATGAATTAGAAATGGAGAGCACAGACCACCGAGACTAGTAAACCAGGGGGAAGACCACTGAAAATCACAACAGCCAAGAATTTATATTGATTCTGACATTTTTCTTCCATCTGATAAGGGTTACAACCACAAATGTTTCAGAGACTCTGACACTTTCTAATGCTGTGATATATTGAAAGTATATTATAGTTAACCGTGGATGCTGAATGCTGATGAAAATTATATTCAATAGCTTTAGAGTTTCTATAAGAGTTTCTATTAGAGGCTAGAACCTATTAAAAATATTGTGTGTGTGTGTGTGTGTGTGTGTGTGTGTGTGTGTGTGTGTGTGTGTGTGGGGGGAGGGGGGTTCTTTCAATTGAGCATTTGCTATTTTGTTAACTATAATCAGCATTTTAAAATTAAAGAAGCGAGCACACATTTACATACAGAGCTTTGTTGGAGGCTTTGATCACTGGTAGCAGTCTCAGAAGAGCCTCCTCTGAAGCTGAGAATTTCTTCAAGTCAAACACATCCAGATCTTCTTCCGATGCCAATAAGATGAAGACCAGAGCTGACCACTGTGCAGGAGACAGATTATTTGTCAAGAGACTTCCTGAACTCAGGAACTGTTGGATCTCCTCCACTAGAGAACGATCATTCAGTTCATTCAGACAGTGGAACAGGTTGATGCTTTTCTCTGCAGACAGACTCTCACTAATTTTCACTTTAATGTACTGGACTGTTTCTTGGTTGGTCTGTGAGCTACTTCCTGTCTGTGTCAGCAGACCTTGTAGTAGATTCTGATTGGTCTGCAGTGAAAGACCCACGAGGAAGCGGAGGAACAAGTCCAGGTGTCCGTTTGGACTATTTAAGGCCTTGTCCACAGCAGTCTGATAGAAGTATTTCTCGTTAGATTCTCTTCTTTCAAACTTCCTGGAGCTTGTGTGGTTTTCTTCCAGCAGATTGACTCCAGAGTCGATGAAGGTCAGGTGGACATGAAGAGCAGCCAGAAACTCCTGAACACTCAGATGGATGAAGCAGAACACCTTGTCCTGGTACAGTCCTCTCTCCTCTTTAAAGATCTGTGTGAGCACTCCTGAGTACACTGAGGCTGTTTTGATATCGATGCCACACTCTGTTAGGTCTGATTCATAGAAGATCAGGTTTCCTTTCTGCAGCTGATCAAAAGCCAGTTTTCCCAGTGACTCAATCATCGTCCTGCTCTCTGGACACCAGTGTGGATCTGTCTCAGCTCCTCCATCATACTTGACCTTCTTGACTTTGGCCTGAACCACCAGGAAGTGGATGTACATCTCAGTCAGGGTCTTGGGCATCGTATTCCACTTTCTTGTTTTCAGCACATGCTCCAGAACTGTAGCAGTGATCCAGCAGAAGACTGGGATGTGGCACATGATGTGGAGGCTAGGTGATGTCCTGATGTGGGATATGATATTGTGTGCCTTCCACCAACTTCTGAATCTCTTTCTGAAGTACTCCTCCTTCTGTGTATCAGGGAACCCTCTAATTTCTGTTACCCTGTCAATGCATTCCGCAGGGATCTGATTGGCAGCTGCAGGTCGTGTGGTTATCCAGAGGGGAGCAGAGGGAAGCAGTTTCCCTCTGATGAGGTTTATCAGCAGCACATCCACTGATGCGGACACCGTAACATCAGTCAGTTTCTCAGTTTTGTTGAAGTCCAGAAGAAGTCGACACTCATCTAGACCATCAAAGATGAACACAACCTCGAAGTCATCAAAGCTGCAGATTCCTGCTTCTTTGGTTTCAGTAAAGAAACGATGAACAAGTCCCACCAAGCTGAACTTTTCCTCTTTCAACACATTCAGCTCTCTGAAAGTGAATGGAAATATGAACTGGATGTCCTGGTTGGCTTTGTCTTCAGCCCAGTCCAGCGTGTATTTCTGTGTTAAGACTGTTTTCCCAATGCCAGCCACTCCCTTTGTCAGCACTGTTCTGATTGGTTGTTCTCTTCCAGGTGATGCTTTAAAGATGTCTTCTTGTCTGATTGTTTTTTCTGGTCTGTCTGGTTTCCTGGAAGCTGTTTCAATCTGTCTGACCTCATGTTCATCATTGACCTCTGCAGTCCCTCCCTCTGTGATGTAGAGCTCTGTGTAGATCTGATTCAGAAGTGCTGGATTTCCTGCTTTAGCAATCCCCTCAAACACACACTGGAACTTCTTTTTTAAAGCAGATTTTTGTTTCTGATGAACTACAATGGGAGTTCCTAAAGGCACAAAAGGGCAAAAATATCAATTAAGTATTTATAAACTAGAGATGCCACTTATTTCTACAACAAACAGGTTTTTGAATACATTTTTGTAGATCTCTTGACATATTAGTAAATGTTTTTTTTTCATCTACAATAAATCTTTAGAAAAATCCTCTTACTGCTCTGCAGGCGGTCAGCCAGCTCCTCCTGCTTCATTCCCCTGAGGAAGTCTAATGTGATCTTCAAAACTGCATTTCTGCTGCTTCTCCTCCGCTCTTCATCCTCACCTGGTAATACTTCCTCATCTTCCATTTGTCTCTCTGCCCATTCTGGGTAATCTTGACGCAAAACCTTGTGGATCGTCTTCAATTCATTCTTCACAAAAGTAATGATGTCGTCTTCCAGCATCTGGAAAACATTACTGCATTAATGATCTAACCACCCCTCAATCTCTATAGGGTGCTGGGTAAAGAGGAAAGCAGAAGGAAAAGACACACCCAGAAGCAACAAACAGAACAATACCCCAAGGTGAGACAAGACAACGTTTAATGACATACAGTAATGTATACCAAGGCAGTAAAAACAGGAAGTCGAAAAGTACTCAGTCATCATGAAATTCCCCCAGCAACCTGAACTTATAGCAAAATAACTATGGGATGGTTCAGGCTCACATAATCAAGCCCTAACTTCAAACTTTAATCACAAAGTAACACTAAATGTCTAATCCTAAAACCAGAGAGCATCTCTGTTTTCTGAAACCAAATTGGGAGCTGGTTCTACCCAAGATGGGCTTTGCAGTTGAAGGTTCTTCCTGCCATTCTACTTTTAAAAGCTCTAAGAACCAGAAGTAAGCCTGCAGTCTGAGAGAAGCATGCTTTTTTTGAGATAAGAAGAAATAAGATACCGCGATCTCTTTAAAATATGACAGAAAATCCAGGTTTTGTTGAGCTTGTATGTTGGTTCATCACTGCAGTATTTCTTTACTACAACCATGTTCATGTTCAACACTGGGTTGAATATTATTAAATCACTCTAACTGTTTGCAGTAAGAACTAGGTCCCTCCTTGAAATTCAAAGCATCGCTTATTTAAAAGAATTGAGATATATTTCTATATAACAGCTCCTCTCTGTTGTGACCTTCTCACACTCATGAAAGCAATGGCCTATAAAAGCTGGCCTAGGTCTTCCACTGCACCTGGCATCAAATTATTGGTGACCTTTGTGTCTTGGTTAGGTTATGTTTAATAAATGATTTTATATTTATGTAAACTTTTTGTGTAAACTCCCTCCTTGTCACCTACTTTGAGGTGACAAGGAGGGAGTTTAGGTGCTTGTTTGAGATCTTTAGATCCACTGGTAAGATTAAACTTTAAGTCACTAATGATTTACAAGTTGGCTTGTGGTTTGCTAAATGCTTATCTAAGTTGAAATGAGTTGGAGTATAGCCTCATTAAAGGTGGCCCAGGTCTTTCATGCAATCGAATAGAATAGAACATCAACTTATTGGTGGTCTTTGCATCTTGTTTAGGTTACGTTTTATTTAGGTAAACGTCTTGCATGAACTCCCTCCTTGTCACTGGTCGAAAGGGATATAAGAATAACTACATGTATTACACTATGGCATGTAGATGGAAGGAGGTGGAGATCTGACCATCAACCTTCTACATGAGAGACAACCAATTCCCATACCCCCATACCCATCATGAACATGACTGTGAACAGAATGAATATAAAACTAATATTGTATGCGTACAGACCATAAATATGGAGTCCAGATGTGTTTGTTGCTGCTGGGCAGACTGACCGCTGGGAACCTCTGAGCTCTTGTCCATTCTGTGGAGGAATCATGAAAAAGAGTAAAAATAATATAGACAAAACATTTTGGCCAGGTTTTTGTTGTCTATGAAAATACCTTTAACAACATACTATAAATAAAAATGTGTGCACAGCTAAACAATCGGTGCACAGTGCAAGTTTAGATATTAAAATCTGGACAAAAAAAGCTGCTCAGACAAGAGAGATATCATCACATTGCTCAGTATTTTGAACCCAAGTCATGAAGCAACAAACCTGAGAGTGGTCCTTGACTCATATTTTAAGCCCAGGGTTAATTTGTTGTCTGTCATTACATATGATTTGTAATCACCTTAAATCTTTTCTCTCTGAGAAACTAATGTACAGACTTGACTGCAGCAATGTTTTGCTATGTGGCCTACAGTATGTGATGAATCAACAACTGATCCATAACTGTGCATTCAGAGTGCTAACTAGGAGCAGAAGGAAAGAACACATTATGCCCATTTTACAGTCCCTTTACTGGTGTTTTTGAATGTTAAAATAATTTTGCTGATTTTTAAAGCATGATTTGATAGGCTCATTCCTGTGTAAATGTCTCACATATTGAGAACAATTGAAGTGGTTTCTGTGAGACAATTAAAATGAATGAATTATCAGCCAAATTCTCAAGATCCACCAGAGCCTTATAATGATCTCTGTCACTGTAAGAACACGATGTTAGAATCCATTTGGGAATCTTCAAATTCACATGTTGCAAAATGTGACAGCTTTTAGATAAGTGAGAACTTATAGAATAAGGATTAGAATACATAGAAAAACCTAGTAAGTCAAATTTTACTTTATTTTGGTACTTCTTACAACCACAATTCTGTGATTACAAACTCTCAAGTCAGTTAATACAACTGCTCAATTACAGCCACTCTAATCACAAGTTTGTTAATTTGTATGCTTTGCTTGTTGCAAATGTGTTACAAAACTAAAACGTGTACACTTGTAGCTATGATGTGAGACAGGAGAGTTGGAGGAGGCATGGAGGGACTAGGGGTAGAGCTCAACCAATCAGAAAGCAGAAGATCAAATCCTGCCTCTCCCTCCTTTTCTCTGTCTGCCATGCTTGTTGAAATATATTAGCTTAGTAATTAAAGAGGATGTAAAACAATGCACATACAAAAGCTCATTTACATGATGGAGCACAGCTTTAAAAAAAAAATCAAATAGATGTAACATTGTTACATCTATTTGATTTTTTTTTTCAATTTAAGAAACAAATGATGAGTAAAGTTAAAATTTTAAGAACATTTAAAGAGATCAATTTTGACCTGTTCCTGGCTGCAACAGTCTTTCCCAAGAGTTTTATGTTAAGAGATCTAGGATATACAGTCCACTTTCACTGTCTGTCTCTTTAGCAGTAAATCTTTCTTTGTTGTTTAGCTAAATTGACTCATTAATAAAGCACTTTATAAATGAGGACTGTGTGGAGGATGGCCTGTTTGAGTCATCAGACTGCCAGGCCAGTTGTACTGGGCCATGCAATCACTTGACAAAGCAGACGTTTGCGATGCGATCAGCACTACTTTATGCAATAAAATATTCTCACCTTTCCCAAGCGCAATGAAACAGTTTACTACAAAAGAGGTTACTACATGCATGTCACACCAAAAACATAACTGTTGTTACTGAAGACAATTGGAAATTCTATCATCGATCAGCACATCTGCAGCCAAAAAGAAAAAAAAATCTCCACATTAAAATCTCCTTCACTTACATTTGGAAATAATATGAAATAATATTACGGAATTCAGCCAGTGAGATGACAGGAGAAAAGTAAGGTCTCCAAAAAGTGTGGCATCTCTTCCTCTGAGCCTCTGCATTGTTTTAGCTTTTTCGCAGACATACTACTGATGGGATTCCCATTCGTGCTTTGCTAAGAAACCTAGTTTTGTAGTTTGGATGTGCTTCGGAAAAGGGAGACTACTGATTGCTGCTGACTGCACTGCAACCGACTAGAGGAAGAAACAAACAACTTTTTGACTCCGGTGAAACACCTCTTACCTGACTTAAATAGGTTCTCCTCCACACTGTCCTCATTTATAAAGTGCTTTACAAACCTGAACATTACTGCTAACAGCTGGATTTTTCCGACTGAGTCCAGCTAGCCACTTACTATTAAAGACAAGAAGAATGAAAGGTGCTAAACTTTTTGGAGACCTTTTTTTTTTTTCTTCATGTCATCTCACTGACTGGATTACTTCATATTAGACAACCCAGTATCACTGTATCAAACATGTTATAAACATGTCCATTTCTGGCTTTGCCTCTCCAAAATGTAAAATAGACATGCATGAAGAAGCAAGGTGAGATAATATATTTAAACCCACGAAGTTGGTAGTCAGCAAAAAACATATTAAGTACATTGCAGGGTCCTTAATCATCAGAATCAATTAAGCTAGCGGGCTATTATGTATATATATGTAAATGTGTTAATAATATCTGTTTAAAAACTTTCCTGGCTTCAATTTTCATGTTGGCTTGAGATAAAATATCTCATTCTGCTGTTACTGCAATTTATTGCAACTTCTATGTGCCTGTACATTTCATGTTTTGAGAGGCAAAGCATGAAATGGACATAGTGCATGGCTATTACATGCTTTTTCATGATATTAGGTTGGATCAGAAGTGAGGATAAGCAAAGTGAATGCAAGGCCTAATTTTTAAAGTGCTTTACAAACCGGAATATCACAGCTAACAGCTGGATTTTCCTGTAAGAGTGCATCTAGCCAAACAAGAAGGAACCACTTACTACCGAACAGACAGGTATGAAACTGAACAGTATATCCTTGATTTTAAAACAGGAAACACATTGTTGCAGCCAGGGACAACTGAAAAATTGTGATAGTTTGTCTTTGGCAGCATAAAAAGCATTTGTTTTAACCAATACTTTGCACAATAGGAATGTCCAAAGAACTCAGTGAAGATCTAAGAGGAACTATAGATTTATACAAGCTGGGATGGTCTCCTGGAACAATTTCAAAACACTGCAGATTCCAAAATCATCAGTTCTTGCAATTGTAAATAAGTACAAGTTATCATGATGTGTCAGCCCTGTGCCAAGGTCTGGAAGAAGTCCCAGATGGTCAACTTTAGATGGAAGGAAATTGGTTAGGATGTCTGGAAATAACCCAGGAACAAGTACACATTAAACATGATTTGGGAATGGATTAAGCAGGCTTAACATTAAGCTTTAGCTTAACGTCAAATTAATTATACTTCATATACAGACCAGAAAGAACTTTTAAGAACTTTGCTTGATCTTCTAAAGAGAGATCAGTTTAATTTATAAAGAACCAAAACACAACAACTGCCGCCTCAAGGCACTTTGTATTATAAGATAAAGACCCCACATTAATGCAGAGAAATCTTTACAATCATATGGCCCCTTATGAGCAAGCACTTTGGTGACCATAATACACCATCAAGTAGTTCATTTAAATCAGACACCAAACTGACAGGTATCAAAGAGTTCATGTTACTATCAGCTTACCTCTCCGCAGCAGAGGGTTGTTGCTCCTTAAATTCAATCAAGCGTTTTTTAGACTGGTCACTCTTAACGGACACTAAGCTGGGTTCAGATCCAGGATGATGTTTGCGTTTAATTCCGTGTTTTTTCCTGTGAATAATGATCGAGCAGTGATATGAGTATATTAGCAGTAGCAGCATTCTGGCTGCAGAGTTTCTGTGTGGAGTTTGCATGTTCCATGTTTGCATGGGTTCTGTTTACACATAGTGACCTGGTGTAAGAACACATTTGTTCCCATTTCTTTAGTTGAATCTATGGAAATGTCAGAGATAACACAGTTTGACAGCCATAAAATAGCATTTATGTACCAACGAAGTGATTCTCGAAGAGCTATTAGCTGAAAAATGGAAAACAAACCAATAAGCAACAGGTCTAAACACAATCTACAGCAAATTATCAGAATCTGAAAGTCGTGTTCTTAATAGCAAAAACTCCAACATAGATCTGAGTAAGGACCAGAGAAATGTCACTGGCGTTTCAGTTGATACAACTAGTTTTGCCGAAGTCTCATTAGAAATTCACTTCAATTCAATTCAATTTTATTTATATAGCGCCAAATCACAACATAAGTCGCCTCAAGGCGCTTCATAGATACAGAGAAAAAAAAACAACAATCA